TGCAGAGGGTTTGAATCTCTCCAAGGCCGTTCCAGTTCGGCGCACCCTCCAGCAATAGTGTTGAATGGAGTGTACAAAGGTCCCCAGAGGTCGGAAGAAGTCCGAAAGGCAGGCGCAAATCATGACTTGAGCGATCCCTTACTTTCGACTCACAGGAGCTTCAAGCCGGGCGGACGGTGGGCTCCCAAAGTCAGGAACTTTAAGACCAGTACCTCACTTCTGGTCACCTCACGGCGTTCCTCTAGCGAGCCAGTCGCCGCAACCCCGGTTATCCGACATCCATGCGTTTCGGTAATCGTTCAGAGGTCAATCCCTCCTGCCAGTCGTGACTTCCCGTACTCCACAATGTCCGGAACATCCCAACCTTAGATGCCGCCATGGCACCCGAAGGCCGGTCAAAACACATTCAAGAGGGTTGGAATGCCCCCATCTGCCCAAGCGAACCTGGGGCCAAATGTTTTCTACTGTGTTTCGGACTCCAACATGGGAAAGTGTAACACCGTCTTGTTCCACATCGATAGTAAGTCACCAAGACTAGTATACCGACGGAGACTTCGAATAAGCGGTTGTTTAAGACTGTCAGGTAGCTCTTTTTCCTGAAACCAATGTCTTCTCGCTTGTCGAATAATCTCTTCAACGTTTATGTACTCCCACACTGGATTATACTGTCCGGACAACATAAGAGGCGCTTCCTGTTTCTCACTCTTTTCCTTGGGAGCAAGGTATAGGGGCCGTTGTTCGTAGGACACTTGACGGAACCAGTTATCCAGTACTTCAGAAGGATACCCTCTCCTTCGAAGATTACCATAGAACTGTGAGCGAGCATCTGCAAAATACCCGACTTCTGAGCTAACTATGGCAAATCGTATGAGCTCTGCCTTGACGAAGGCCTTCTTCACATGTGGAGGATGAGCTGACGACCATGGGATGTACAAGTGCTTATTCATTGGTTTTTTGAAGAGGCGGGTGGTCAATTTGACTCCCGTCAGGTCTCTCGTTCTCATGATTTCTACATCAAGGAACTCCATCTTCACCTTTGAATAAGCCCAGTTGACAGTAAGTGGACCTAACTTGAATTCCGCAATGAATTCTGTCAACTCTTTTTCAGTTCCACAAAAGATCATGAGTACATCATCGATATACCGCATGTATTTCAATACTCCTTGTTTCCAAGGGATCCTTTGTTTGCGTTCGTAGTATCCAGCGTAGATGTTGGCTAATACGGGAGCAGAGGCCGTGCCCATAGCCAACCCTCTAATTTGCTGGTACAATTGGTTTTGGAACCGAAAGTAATTGTTTTGCATCACGAAACGGATCATTTGGGCAATTTTCCGTGCGTGAATTTTCGAATCGGGGTAGTAATGCTGCCATCCGCCTTGTACCAGATTGGCGCATGCTTCAGCATCGATGTTGGTGTAAAATGCAACTACATCTCCAGTGCATATCCATACATCTTCCCGATCGGTCCTAATCTCGTTCAATTGATTGATCACTTCTTTGGTAGAGTTCACAACCCACGGCATATGATCGAGTATCGGACGACAGAGGTAATCAATCACTTCGGAAAGTCGGCTCGTTACCCATGAGTGTGAGGGTACGATAGGCCGCAACGCCCAAGGTTCTTTATGAACTTTTGGTATCGTGTGAAACACTGGTACCTGAGTCGTTGTTTTAGCTTCCACAAAGCGCTCCATATTATGGGGCAGCGACCATTTAGGTAGCTGGTTGAGGAGTCTGTCGAGGAGTTTTTCCATGTCCAAGGAGTTGACCATCCGGTAGGTTGTCATGTCTCCTAACATTTTCATGTTTTCGTGGATGTACCATTCTTTGGGAAATACCGCAATCCCCAGATTTTTATCTGTGAGCTTCACTATGAGACGGTTTTCTTGTAGGAAGTCTTGAACCCTGTTCCAAGGCATGTTTCCATGCTTGGGGGCGGTGGTAGCTACGCGGGAAAGAGCCTGAGCAACTTGCTGGTCAATCTCCTTCATAGCTTCCTGGATGCCAAGTTCAACGGCGGATGATGCCTTTTGCGGTTGCCAGAATGGATTCGGGACATGGAATTTGGGTATAAACTCCGGGTTTTGACGGTTTCTAAATTGCCATTTGACGCGGATTGTTCTAGCGAACTTATCCTTTGCCTCGGCAACGTCATGGTTCTGTGGCTTAGGGTGAAGTATGTACTTGTGGTTGACAGCCAACGAGTACTCAATGTCTTCGGGGAGCGAGACATCTGGGTGTTTGAAGACTCCTGGTTTTGCGGTTCTAATAGAATCCGCTTCCCAACATTTCAAAAATGAAAAAGCAATCTTCATTCTACTCCTATCACTAAGATGACAGTACACATTAGGGTATTCTTCCGGGAGCCACGGTCGAAAATCCTTTGAACATTGTCGCATAAAAGCATCTACCGAGATTTCTTCTTTTGCGAGTGCTTTTTTCCTCCATTGGCCTTCGCTTTCTTTTTGACCTTGTTGGGCTTCTTCAAGGTCTTTGCCCGACCATTGGAGGAGTTGCCGTTTGCTTTCCCTGGTAGTAGTCAGTGTAAGATCGCTCCGTCTTTTAACTGGAACAGTCTCACCGGCTTTTGAAGCTAGTTCGGCTTTGAGGGCTTTAAGCTCCTCACGGATAATGTCGCGAACGGGTTGCTCCTTTCCGATATCCGTCATTTCCACGTCGGTTGATTCCTTAAGTCTCAATTTAGAGAGCTTTTGGAGTTCCGCGCGATCGATTTGGGTCCTGGCTAGTGCCAAACACCGATAGGTGTAGGTTTCGCAGGCATCCAGAAGGATTTTGTATTCCTTCTCAGCGGTAGGGTTTAGACCATGGAAGAGGTAGGAACCATCTGCCCGGACTTCTTGTCTCCCTCCGTTGCTTTCGGCTAGGTTCCGAGCTACAGTGCGGCATCTTTCTTGCCAGACTTCTGACTGCGCTCGGGCCTCGATAGCCAAGTGTGCAAGTTCCTTCTCTTTTGCAGAGATAGCCGCTTTGAGCACATCTTTGCGGGCTTGGTCCACAGCTTGTTTGAAGGCTTCTGGGCTCTTCGTTCCTTCAGTTGTGGCCAGGTATTCTTTTGCGAATTGTAGTTTCGGTTCCTTCAGGCTGTTGCGAACTAACGGCGGGAAGGACCCATCCGTGTCGTGCCTAGAGTACATGACAAGGGTGGATTGAACATTGGCTTGTTTATGCGCAATCCGAAACTTCTTGGTGAGATAGTCTCCGAGGAGAGCTTGGTAGGCACGAGGAATTGTTGCGATCAATTCGGGCAAGCTCGACGCGCCCGCGGTGCTTTCCGCGATTTTCTTGGCGTCATTGGAAACGTCGAGGTTGCGTACGGATCTGACTGAACCAGGCATTTTCGTCACGTTGAATGT